TGAAAAGAAAGAAAGTTATCTACTTAGATGATATAAATAGTTACGAGTTAAAACTATAGATGAACATGTTAAACATCTGGAGGAAGTATTTTCATTATTAAATGAAGCCAGCCTCAAGGTGAATCAAGTTCGTAGCCAATGAACTGAAATATCTTGGGTATAAAATCTTGAAAAAGGTATCAAAACCTATAATTCTAAAATATTAGCAAGTAACAATTATCCACCTCCTAATACCGCCAAAACGTTAGCATCCTTTTTGGACATGTGCTCTGGAACAGAGCATTCATCAGGCACTTTGCGAAGATAGTTAAATACCTTGCTGGTTCTCAAATGCGGAAAAAAAAAAAAAAAGAGAGAGAGAGAATCATGTGGACTGCAGAGATGAACACTGCGCTCAAAGAATTAAAAGCATGCATTAATTAACGCCCCAGTTCTGAAGTTCCCGGATGGGGACCAGAATTTGCAGCAGATGCCTCTGATTTCACAATTGGTGCCATCCTCTCCCAAAATGGGCAGCCAATTGCCTCTTTCAGTAAAACACTGAATGAAATTCAACAGAACTACACTGCGACAGAAAGAGAAACTCTCACTGTCTTACTAGCAGTCCAGAAATTCTGAGTTTACTTTGGAAGCACCCTGGTAACAGTCTACTCAGACCATGCAGCTGTTGGTCGCTTGTATTCATGAAAAATTCTTTCACCCCTGCTTGTACGTTGGGCATTAAACCTACAGGAGTTTAACCTAATTATAAAGCACACACTGGGAAAGGATGCCCCATCAAGAATTAAGATTCACAAAGAGGGAAATACAATCAGATGTATGATGCTAAATTCCAGAATAATTTAGTCCCGTGAAAAAATAATTTCAGAACTGAAGATGGACCCTGCACATTTATGCACAGCTTGAAGACCCCGAATATTTTGAGCATGTGGACGTAACAGCTATTCGAAACAGGGCAACCAACTATAAAGTCACTGATAAATTGCTCTTTTATACAAAAATAACTAACAAGAATCAATAATACCGGCCAGTGAACCTAGGGAGTCTACAATTAAATGTTTTAGAGCAGCTGCATGATTCACCCATTTTGGGTGTTTTAGATATCAGGAAAACATTGCAAAGGGTTTGCGAAACGGTTGATTTTCCACAGTTACAGAAGGTGGTAATGGCAATGTCAGATCATGTCATATGTGTAAATTAATTAATGATGTTAATTATAAAACAGCCGGGTACTTAAATAACATAAAGACCACTTTCCCCAATGAATTGGTGGGCACTGATTTGCTTGGACTTTATTCTAAAACAAGATTAAATAAAAATAGATATATGTTAACTATCGTTGATCACTTTTCAAAGTGGGTGGATATAATTCCCCTTAAAGAAGCATGAGCAAAACTAGTGTTAAATTCTTTTTTAAAATAAATATACTTTAAAATATGAAGCCCCAGAAAAAAGTAATATCTGATAACGGAAAACAATCTGTTAGTCACTTCTTTAAAAGATTTCACTTTTAGATCTGTCTCTGCACAGGACTTGGCCTATGCCATGTAAAAATGGTACCATATAGGCCGCAATCAAATATAGCAGAACATGTAAACAAAAATATTTTTAAAATTATTTAGGGATACATTAAAAATTATCATGACCATTGGGACAGCTGCATCAATGAATTAGATTTTTCTTTAAGAACAGTGAAACATGATACTACGCGAAAAGACCTCAGCAGAACTCTCCTTAGGGAGAAAAAATTTTAACTCCCTTAGACAAACTCTTTTTTGTACAGCAAGGGGGAGAATTTAAGTTAAAGGATATTCAAAAAATCATTAATGAAGCCATAAAAAACTCTGATATAGCGAGGCAGAAACAGAAGTACTACTAAGACAATAGATGGGAGGTAGAATATTGTGTGGGTTAAAAAGTGTTGAAAAATCTAGCATTCCTTATCGTCTGTGCCAAAAAATAAAGTGGCCAAATTTGAGACCAGGTTTGAGTGGCCTTTTGTCATTGAAAGGATCAGATTTGCAACAGTACATTTAAAGGCTGCAAATGGCCAGGAAATAGTTGCTGACGTTGACCAAATCAAACCATATTATAATCAAATTGATTTTTAAATCTTAAATGATCTCTTGCAGGATCCTGGAAGCATGCCAGGAACTTTGGACACTCAAGCAACAAACTGAATTCCCCCAGCAGAAAAAAGGAAGCAGGCGGAAAGTACAAGTGAATGGCCTGAGAAGCGAGTTCTGCCGCAACAAGGTCCAGGGCCAGCAGAAAAGACAGAAAGTGCAACAAGGGAAAGGCCATTTAAAGAAAGTTCCACCACAACAAGTTCCAGTGTCAGCGATAAAAAGAAAAAGAACAACAAACATAAGACAAGTGAAATGAATGGCACCACAGAGGGGTCTGGATGCAACAAAGAAAGCCTCACAAGATAGTCATTGTTGCCCATCAACAACCACCCCAAAGGAGGTTGGAAGAGATCCAAGAGAGTCAGGGGTAAAAGAACAGCCAACGTGGTAGCTACATCATTCCAGCTATCAAGGAAGTCCAAAAGAAGGTTTAAAGACTTGCAGGAAAAGAGTGGCCCCACGAAACCAGAGACAATACCAGAACCCTCAATCAACAAGGAAGTCAGCCCAATTCATTGCCAGAGGGAAGAAAAGGAAAGAAGTTTGGAAAGAAAATACCAGCCGCCCAAGCAGGAAAATTAAATATTTCAATGACATATTGCTGAACATCCGAATAGTATATAACTTCCGAATAGCGCAGAATTTAAGATGTCCCACCTGGAAGGAATTCTGCCAAAAAAGAACGATGGATTATAAAAACCAAAAAGGTAAGTGAAAATTATCTTTGTTTGCTCTTTTAGAATGCAAGTTCATTTTATATCATATTTTTCAAAAATGTTAAATGCTGTTAAAACCAAGAATTTTGAATTTGCTACATTGTGAAAAATATACCGTAAATATCTTTTAGTCAGAAAGACTTGAAATAACAATGAAAATTTCTGTAAACTAGAATTTAAAATTAAATTTTAGAAAAAGACTGTAAACTATGTATAGCAACTGTGTAACCTGCAATGTAAAACAAATTTAAAATTGTATATGTTAAATGTGGAAAAATGTTGTGTTAAAAGTAAAAATTTAAATGTTGATTGTAAAAGTGTTTTAAAGTTAAACTTAGTTTAAATGCAAAACTTTGTTAAATGAACGATTAAGTATAGAATGAATGTCTGTTAAAGTTAGACTCTCCAGCCAAAACTTGAAGTTTAAATTACGCTCTCTTCAGCACATTATGTGCAGTTTTGTAAATAGCGAGTCCTTGAATTCTAGTGTGTCTTGATTTAATTTTTTGTTACCCAGATGGTTAGTTGGCATTGTACGTGGTAACACAACACTGACATGCTCGTGTCATAACAGAAACAAATTTCTGGGGGGAAAATTAGTTAAAATGTGTGTGAAGGCCAAATAAATATAATAAAATGTAACTGGAAGGGAAAAAGGAAATTTTTCTTAGAAACAAGTACTAATCCTTTTTCTTTCCAGATATTTTGGAAGGACCAAACGATGTATCATTAAGTGATGTCAAGATGTATGTCCTGAGCAAGAATTTTGTAAAAATAATTTTACCTTAGTTTAAACTTAGATTTAGATCATTTGTAAAGTTGGCTCTAAAAAAAGGTCGACACTTCAATAATGAGATTGAATTAAGAAAGCAAACATATTAGAAGTTAAAATTTGAAGTGCTAGGAAGTTTTTTAGAGCTTAAACTCTCGCCAAGTTGTTGTCTCATTGTGAGCCCTTTTTTCTTTGAGTACTTAAATTCTGGTGGAGAAAGATGTAAGATTTATCCTAAGTTTATAACAGTTATTTTTAAGTTTATTCACCTTTCCTATCTCTTCTAGCTTCAGCTCACAATTCCTTACCAGAATGAGTTTTTAGAATTCTGTTAGATGCAAATGAGTAGTAGAGAGCATTTAAGTTCCACTGACTTTGAATAGCGCACATTTGCCTTTTGGCTATGTCTCTCTAACTGTTACTAGGCTTGGCCATATTATGTACCTTTGATAGCTTCACTAGCTAATTTAATATTATGGGACAACTAGCTTAGAATTTGTGTTAGCTTCGGCTAAATCTCTTTACTTAGTCATTAGTTCAGTTCTTATTTCTGACATTTTTGAGTTTAAGCCCAAGTGGAGGCTTTGTTGTAAGTCCTCAGAAGATGGTCATCTGTTAATCTTTATTTTGAGCAATAAAGAGTAATTAAACCTTCTTGAGTTTATGTTTCTGTTCTCAGACTTAAGCGATTATTTGCTTAGTAGTTCACTAGGTTTCTCAACTCTTAATTAATGTATAAAAAGGAGGAATCCTACAATATGTTGGTTCAGAGAGAAAACAAGGAAAGGTTTTCTAAAGGTTTTATGGTTATTACTGGATTCTCTTATAATGGAAAACTTAAAATAAGGAAAGTGAAATATCAGAAATATGTTTTAACACCTATTTTTAAAGAAGAAATTCCATCTCTTTATCCAAACAATCTTTACAGTGTTCCATCAGGATAAGGCTCCAAGCCATACTTCTAAATCTAGTGCTTTATTTTTTGAAAAAAATGTGAAACGGAACTGTGAATGACACTATTCCCTTTAAATGCATCCCACCCTAGTTTCCTGATGTGTTTCCTATGGATTACTGTGCATTTGGACTTGTAAAACAAGCTATTTATAAGCAACATCACAAAATATTAGATGGACTCTGGAAAATTGTGAAGGAGGAGTGGAATAAAATCAACCTTGATGTTTTAAAAAAAAGACTTTTATCTTTGAAATCAAAATATAATACGATAGTTCAATAAAAGGGCTATCAGACTGAACATATTGGGAAATAAAATTCTAAGGTTTTTTTTTTTTTATATAATATTATATAAATCTTTGAAAAACTGTTACAAAAAAGGTAGACATGCAAGGGAAAAAAAATAAATATAAAAAAAAAAATTAAACACACCTTTTTCAAGAAATACTTCTCTTTGAGTACCATCAATTTTCTGCCGTTCAATGACATATCGCTGAACATCCGAATAGTATATAAACTGAGTTCGTGCATCATAGTCTATTGCAATAGGCCTATTTAGCCCAAGGATAGGCACCATTATATCTTCTTGTTTCCCACTGGGTTCCAAAGAAATCCCTTTAATAGCACCAGGATGGCCACGACAATACAGCAAAATCTGGCCTTGTTTAGCAGCTAAAAAAATTTTTTTTATAACAGGAGATCAATACACTTCCTACATTACAAAATAACTCCCTTTTGAAAATATGATTACAATTAATGATGCTTAAAGGATACTGAATTTAAAATGCAAAAATTTTTCAGATGTCAGAAAACCACTTAAATATGCAAAGATTTTGATAATCAGTAGAAAATCACTTGATACACCTAATGCTATTGATATTATTTTTTCGAATTCAGCTGAAAAATATATATGTATATATATATTTTTTCTTCTTCTAAAAACATGCAAACATCCTATGTGAATGTAATGATTTGAGAGAAAAAAAAATGTGTTTGTAAATAAAATCTAAAAATATATGTTATCCAAAAAATAAGTATTGTAAATGAGCACAATAATAATCATACAATTTATATACAGCCCATTTTAATAGTTATTCACAAAACATCAAAACATAATTATTTATTACTAACTCAGTCAATGAAAAGTCAATAGCAGCATATACTAAAATGCAAATTAAATACATTATTAAGCTCTTCTGCCCCCAAAAATATGCTAATGAATTAAATAGTTAAGAGAAACCTGTTTTTCTGATGACTGAGTAAATTAATTAACCTTGATTATTAATTAATCAAAATACTGTTCCAAAGAATATAAATTATCATGATTCTCTTTTTTTTAATCAAAATTTAAAATTAAAAAAAAAAAAAAAATCACTTCTATTGCAGTTTCATTTCTACATGTCTTCTCTCCATCTCTTATGCATTTGAGAGAAAATTAGGGGTTAAAAACTACAAATGATTTTCACGTAAGGAATTTCACCATGGCAAAAGTCATGAAACAACTAATTGAACTGCTTGATGCCAAATACACTGAAAAAAGTCAAAATTTCTACAAATTTTCCTAATTTTAGAAAATTTTTCAGAAAAGACAGTCTGAAAATCCTGCTTATATGAGAAAAATTTTTAAATTAGGAGAAATTTTAACTTTCCCCCCTTAATTATTACTAATTTTTGTATTTCTTATTAAAATTTGAATAATAAAATTATAATTAATAATTGACAGCAAAAATTAATTTAATCATTACTAATTTATTTCTTACTTAAAATTTAGATAATGAAAATGGAATACTACAGTTCCAAATTCATGAAATTAGAAAGCTTAATATGAAAATTGTATCAACTTACCTACACATTTTTTACCTCGAGCAAGGAGTTTAAACCCAGCTTTACATCTGCATTTAGCTACAGGAGCACCAAATTTGTAAAGTGGTATGCATATATGTTCACAATGGCCATTTTCTATTGAACATGGATGGGTAACTGTAAATATAAAATAGTACATTTTTAATCAAACTACAGAAAATACTTCTAATACAAATATCAGATCCACATAAAATAAACGGGTGTAAATAAGTTATAGTAGATTTTGTTTGGGTGTATTTTGAATATCGAAAAGGAAATTCTTATTTTAATTGCATAAAAAAAATATTACACTGGTTGAGAGAATAAAAATGGTCTTTGAGATGTATATTGTTATGAAATTAACAGCTCATTAGAAAATATTTTCCATCTTTAACTATACCCTTATACTTTAACAATGCTGTTTCTTACAAGACTTCTTAGATTATGCAGTAATATTCAAATATAGATTTTTATTCATTTATGTTATTTTTCAATCTGAACTTGATTTTTTTTATTACCGCATAAAATGAACCTGTAATAACTGGAAATAAAATTAATTACTATATAAAATGATCCTAAACAAAGATAGAATAGAAATGTTAAATAAGAATTAACAAAAATCAGAACCTCATTCTTCAATAAGTATTAGTTCTGAATTGTGATTTATATGAATAATAATTCGGAATCATAAACATGAGCTAAAAAATGTTAAATAAAATAAATAAATACTAATAAAGTTTCCATGAGTTAGTTTATAAAAATATTTTATATTTTTGACAGTAGATGATGTTTCAATCAGCATTCCAGTTTTCTTTACATAGAAGTAGTAAGTTATGCCGCATATTTTGTTTGCCTGCATTCTACTTTGTTGATGAAATATGAATACATATTTTGTTAAGTGAATGAGATGACCAGAAAGGTTAGAAAAGTAATATATTCATTGGAGCAAAAAATTTGTATTGTACTGGAATACCATGAGTTGGACTGTAGCCCTGGTTGGCAGGGATACAGCATAGTTTTCATAAAGATTTAGTTTCAAAAGATCAAAGCTGCTTCAGAGGAAATAACAGTCATCCAGGAGTCATTATGAATGGTGCATATCTGTCATAAAAATTAAATTGTTTTAATAAGGTGAAAGCCTTAAAAATTATTTTAGGGGGGTGCAGGAGTATGCCAATCAAGTGGTCTGTTGGAACCCTCTGGGATGAACAAAAGGTCGGATAATTGGACAGACAATGTAAAATAAAAACCAGAGTGGCTCTGCACAACTTTGAAGACTACCCAGAACAATAACATTTGTTATTTTCCACTTCTTCAAAATAAACAGTATACTTTACAAAAAAAAGGGGGGGAGGGCTTTTTTAACTGCATTTTTTAATTATGTGAAAAATGTAGACTTTTTCATTTTTTGCTTCAAAGATGGTATTTTTTAAATTAAGTCTTATCACAAATCTTTTTCTAGGCATAGAAGATGACATAGATCATGGAATTTTTGCTACTTTTAATACTTTTTATTATTTAAATATTTGAAAGATTCATAGGTTTACATCATAGGTTTTTTTTTTTTTTTTTTTTTTTTTTTTTTAAGTTGGTCTTCATCCCACACTTTAAAATTGTATATCTAAAGTCATTTGCTTTGATATTTGGTTATTTATCAACTTCTTTTTATCAGAAATAAAATTTTTTTCAATCATCTTGTTTTCATCTATCTACTTGGGATTCCTGATATTTGCAATCACACTTTGCTCAATTTTATTATTACTTCTTATACTTGTGAAAACATCCTGATCTGTAATTTGCCCTTGAAACTGGAAAATTCTGATAATTTAGATCTTGTGACTGGTACATTTAAATAACTGACATTTAGATAATTAACGCTTTGACTGAATGTTTAAGTTAACACTTTTATTAATGATATAAAAGGTTATAATAATTTTTTACTGCTGCATTTATTTGTGTCCTCATTTAGGATTTATTAAGCAAGAAACTTATAAAAACACAAAGTTGTGAGAGTTCACAGTTCGGTCACAGTTCTAACAGGTTATTTTATGTTAATTTTCTGCCTTATCATTACAATTTCCATTTCCTGCCAGAATGTAAATTTCTAGCTCGCAGGATATACAAGGCAGAAAGATGAGACTATTTAAAGGAAGGTTTTAGAGGGTAGCTTCAAAGCATGTTCTACCTGCTTGAAGGCCACATTGCTAATTTGATTCCCTTGCAAATAGTATTTGTCAGTGATGAATTATTCTCGCCATTAGGCTTGTTACCCCGACCTCAGATCAGCGCCAGCTCATGTGTTACCAAACTGCGAGGCGATGAGGCTAACTTACTTTCATTAGTTTTAATTTATATGTTATCTTTGATTTAAGCCACAACCATTGGTTTCTGTTAGCACAAGTTGGTGCCAACTGTTAAGCTTTATTTAATAAAAAGATCCTTTACATCATTTCCCTGCCTCTGTGGTACTAACAAGACATAGCAGAAATTCATATATAGTCTTCTAGAGTTTTCAACTAGTTTATGTCACCTAAGTAGACCAAACTCTACAACTGAAAAAAAAAAAAAAAAAAAAAAAAAAAAAAAAAAAAATGAGCAAAAATACTAATTTCTCCTTGTTTTTAATTTCTCTGTATGCAAAACAAACTCAAATGTTATAACAGCAAACATTCTTTTACTTTGCTCATTAAAATTAGAAGCTTGCTTTTATGAAAAAATTGCTTTTATGGGGGAATATATTTTAGTTCAAGTGAAACACATGCAAATTAATACAATTATAATGTAAAAAATAATCCTCACCATAATAATCACTTCATTGGATACTGGACCAAAACATGTTAAGCTACAGATGAACTATTTTCCTAGCTGATCTATGAAAAAAACTTACCCTCTTCTCCACTAAATGGTACTTATTTTTATGTAATTTGCAATAAAAAGACAAATTTATTGATTATCCTTTTGCTGCTATTACAAATAATTCTGTATCCAGGTTATTTATTTATTTATTTATTCAAAAGCAGAGAATATGAGACTCTCAGTTTAAGGAGAGGGATGTCTTCACAAAAACATATTATAAAGGAAACTAGCTAGCATTTATGTCATACATGAACATACCACAAACCTACAGCTACAGACTTACTTAATTACTTTAAAACTTAAATTACTTTAAAAAATAACTTATAGCTGGCTGTTAACAAGGATTTGAACCTGGGAAAAATTATAATGTTCAGGGTTTAGTCAAATGATTAGACATTCAGTCACAAGGGGTTAAGACCAGCAACTAAGTGCATAAGGCTCTAGATAACACAAGCCAACCTACCAAAATTTAAAAAAAAACTCAGAATTTTCTCAGTAATAAAAAATGATTGTTAAATAATAAAAATATGCAAAAGGAAAAATTTAAATAGTAAACTTATTTTAAGTACAAAAAAATTAAATAGCAAACTTATTTTAAGTACTACAGTCAAAAGTCTTTAATCCGGACTCGTCGGGACTTCGGAGATTCCGGATTATAGATCATTAGTTTAAATCTGGTAGATGGCATGCGAATTAAAATTAAAAATATGAAACCAGATTTATGAAATAAGAGCAATTATGATCTAAAGGGTATTAAAATTTACAAAAAAAAATGCTTAATATGTTACTTTATTAAACCTTTCTTTCAACATGTGCATGGGTAAGCATATATTACGCATAGTCGAAATTAGAAATTGCAACCAGAAAACTATCTGATGTGTACTCGTGATTATAATGACGCGGAATTTGATTTAAATATATCAAGACGGAACATCGAGATAATACTAAATTTAGTAAGGAATTATAGCCGAATAAAAAACATCCGCCCTGAAGATAAAGCTAGTGTTGACAGATCAACTTCCAGTTCATTGCACGCCGCGAGTCCCCCCTCCCTTCGCAGAGCAGCGTGAAATTGATAACAGATTTCGGAATGGTTTAAGAACAAAGGATATGCCTTTATCTATTTTTTGCAGCAATTTCACTTTTGTTTGATGGAATCGAAAACATACTTTCGCTTTAGATCTTTTGGCGCTCCAGCATCGGAATTCTATTGAATAACGAAAGTTCAAGCTTACTTATAAAATTGCTTTAACAGTCTGCAAAAAAATAATAAGCCGGATCCAATTTGAAGATAAGCAACAACACAATATGCAACATTAATTGAAATAGATAATTAGATAATTTTAGCTTAGCTTATACCGTTCGTTATACATTAAACGCGCATGCGTAAACGTATTACGCACATGCGCATGCGTAAAAGTATTACGCGCATGCGCAAACACCTAATGCGTTCACGCATGCGCAGAAAGTTTTGTAGCTTTGAGGTCCGGATTATAGATCATTCTGGATTATGGGTGTCCGGATTAATGGCTGTTGACTGTATCTAACATATATTTGAATTCACTAATGCTTGAATGCAAATTGCATCAAAATACAATTTGTAGGGGGGATTATTAAGTGTATATTTCCTAAGAAAACTAATAATTTTACATTAATAAACCTTTTTTCCTTTTATTTCTCAAAAAGTCTCTATCCCAATACAATTTATGTTGTCCTTGTGTGTCTGAGTATACACATTTAAGAATGTCGGCTATTTCACCATAAGAAATTAAAAATGCAATGATAAACACTACACATCAGAAACCCATTATAGTGCCTTGATGAAATAATGCAAGGAAAAGAATATAAGGATTTTACTTTTCGACAGATATTAATAAAAAAATTGCAAATACTGAAACAACTTTTCAAAGCAAGTGAAAACCATACCGAGTAGTAAAAAAAATACAAAGAACAGTCTAATTCTTACTCTCAGCTCATTTCTTGATGTGTGTCAGATAGACTCAACAGTGTTTAATGCTCAATGGAAAACTGAAACATAACATTTTCAGATACATCTACTCTCACGTGCACAACTGCAACCTACTGTTAATGAAATGACTTTGGGGCTATCTTTTAATACACAATCTAGAGAAAAACCAAGGCATTTCAAACTCCAGGAATTGTGTTTCTGAGTGTAAATAACGAAATGTGAAGAATACATAAAAATTATATGAAATTTAACAGAAATTTTGAAGAAACATGCAGTAAATAAGAGTTGGCACAATAAAAAATTGGGAAAATTGCCATGTCTGCTAAATTCAGAAGTTTCATGAATAATTTTTGGTGGGTAATTTTTGGGTGGGGCATTGTGCCACTGATTGTGCTTATGACAGTTTCACCCTAACTTTAATTAACTCACAAAATGATAGTATCTAAAGGTTCCAATACCCATCTTTTTCCTACCATTAACATTTTGATAGGATATATAAATACATATATATATATTAACTTTTATTCATCAAAAACACCATAGTCACAAACTTCATGTGTTACTTAGGAATTTGAAACCAAGTTCACTTATCCCTGCTAACTAACATGCTGACCGAGACAACTAGAAATCACATTATTCACAATGTATTTTTAAAAAGATCATGCAAAATCATATTTGAAAGCTAAATAATTCTACTTCAAGTAAAAAATAACTCAATTAATTAAATATGATTATATAAGGACACTTACCATTTGGTTGCCTTTGTCGGTGATACACATGGATAGAGAAAGGATGAGTCATATTTGATTTTATGGGTTTAGAATTAAAATTAAACTTTTGTATGGCCAAAATATTATTGCCATCTACACTAGTAACGTAAATATAATCTTCAAAAACAGATATTCCATACAAATTTTTAACCTGCAAAAAATCAAATGTGTTAAAGATGCAGCTGAAGTAAACACATATGAAGTCCATTGCATACTACATGCTAATCAAATATATGTTTAATGAAACAAAGTAATGGTTTGGTTACAAATTAAATTATTCTATAACACTTATATCATTTAAGGGTAACTTAAAAGCAATTCACATGTCATTACAAGAATAAAACAATTGAAACTTGAAGAAATTTTGCCAACAGCAGTTAGTGACATTTGCATTTATGCAGCAGTTAGTGACATTTGCATTTATGCAGCAGTTAGTGAGATTTACATCTTTTACACTAACTACCATATCATTCCAAAAATAAGACAGGTTATATATCATCAGAAATGTGAATAACTGCCCATGCTAGATCTATCAGATGAGCTCAAAATAATCCATCTTTACTTCCATTTGAAAAGTTTGACTGAAAGCATTGTAGGAAACAAAGACACTTTTGACAAAAATGGTTATTCCTTTTCAGCTATTCCAGTTTTAGGGCATGCAGATTATTTGCCATTTTAATAATAGTGTGGTGAACGTTATTTTGGTTTTCAGCAGTGGTATACATTCTCAAGCATCACAACACTTTCCCATCTCACTCTTAGAGTAAAATATGATTCTACATTTCTGGTACATACTTAAAAATGCCCATACACATCTTCTAATTATAATTCATTATGAATTGCTGCCATGGAATTATGCTGATTTTTTATGTATGAAACAGAAAACTAAAGATTGTTGTTTTAACAAACAAAGTTTCTGGACTGTTCAAATGCATACATGTTCATGAAGATTCTCACTGAACAACTGTAGAATTAAAGTGTAAAAGTTACTCAAATTTTCAGTCCCTCTCTTTCATGACCAATTCTCAAATTTCAATAACCCTCTCTTTCATGATGCATATTAGTAATATCAAACAAGAATGTTTGTTTATTTAACTGATTATGGCAAACCACATCAGGTCTATCCATCCAAAACAAAAGATGCATTTATGTAGGGTTCTTAAGGAGCAATGACATTCACATTACATATGGGAAAAGCTGTAAATACCCCATGTAGGCAGGACATCAGCTGCAATTCAAACACAGATCAAACTGTCACAGTTCAGTACACTTATCCACTCAGTCCCGGTACTTAGCTACTGCCAAACTGATTAAATAAGAATGAGGAAACAGAATTTTCTCAGTTTTGAACTTATCAATACATTTTTTATTGAAGTTTTCTTCCTTTTCATTTTTAAATACTTTCAATAACTTGGCAGTACCTCCAGATAAAAGTGTATCACTGCATACTGGTATATCTTCACTTCAAAATAGTATGATACTGCTTTTACTTCCTCTGTAACATCTAGAATTATTGGAAAGATCTTTATAATTATTACCGACTCAAAAGCTAGGATAAACTTTCATCATTAATTCATTACACTATGCAAATGCTCATTCAAAAGTCAAAAAGGGTTTTGAGTCACATGGCATAATATATGAAGACTATCATATATAGGCATTACTAACATTTATTTAATGTTTTATGACAGTTTATGCTCCTGCTGCATTTTCAAAATATTTAATAAATTAATAAAGAAATAAGCAACTGAATACAGCTTAATCGAACTTGCCATTGCAATAAATACTCAAAATATTCTAGAGTCAGATCATTTTCATGACTGCATATATGTGTGTGTGTGTAAAAAGCATTTCAAATTCTCTTTGGGGGGAAAAAATAAAATTCAAGATTTAAAACAATTACTGAAAAATATTATTCAGTATAGCTTGAGATTTTCTTCTACACATGTTAAAAGTAAAATTTTTCAACCAAATATAATATTAGACATTTTATATTTGATTTTTTTATTAAATGTTGAAAATATGCAGTATTAGCAGACATGTTAATACACATATAATAGCATTTATATTTGTATAAAAAAATTATTGATACAGATATTTTTTGTGCTAACAATTAGCTTTCAAATACTTACATGGTTTTAAGACTCACAACATACAGAAATGATAATAAATGAATAAAAATATAAAAGTTTTCAAAATTAATAATTCTGTTATTACCTGTGCATTTCTGATGACTGTTTTCCTTCCAGTTCCATCATAATTAATCTTCTCGATTGTGCCCAAGTACATATCAACCCAATACACAGTTTCTGTGGGAATATCAACAGTGATTCCATTTGGGTAAACTATTTTTTCTACAACCAGTTTTATTCTTTCAGAGCCATCCAAACGAGATTTCTCTAGAGCTGGAGCTGCATATCCCCATTCAGTAAAAAACATTAATCTAAAAAAATTAATATTTCATATACAATCCACATTAGTACTAATTACCTTAAATCAATTTAAAGTACAGAGATATTGATTATTGGGCAAAATACTTAAGCTAATAGTCTAAAAGACGTTAAAAAAATGACAAAAACCGGCTTATTATGCAAAGGAAGTATATAAAAATGCACATACATTTAGTCTGTTCAACCATCAAAATGCAAATATTAATAATTGTAATCAAAGCTTTTAATACAATTTCCTAGATATCCAATCCTACAGTGTTGAATAAATCAATGCATTTAAAAAAAAATAATAATAGCTTAATTACACAGAAAATGAAATCATCACCACCTTGCATGAATCAATCACCACCATGCATGAAGACTGATTACATAAATACCATAACTGCAACACAAAATTTTCAGCAGCAGGATGACATATTTCATCAAGCATGAATACATTTTAATACTTATTCTACATTCATTCAACATTACAAAAACAGCACTACTTTAATTTGCATATTGAAGAGACATTCATTTAATTAAATAAATGCACAGTAATAAACTAAATTAAATTTAGATAACAAAAGTGTTCCAATGCACCATTTTCTGGCATGAACATATGCTTGTTGATGAAAATGCATAGTTGATTCCATAAATAATAATAAAAAATACTTTCTCTCGGGCAATACACAAGCTAAATACATATTTTAGTATTTGTATTATACAGCTTATTAGCATTCATTACCAATATTTTGAGAAAAATTATAACAAAATTTTTAATTAAAAATTTTAATAATTATATACATTTTATTTCAATAAAACATGATATATAAATAATGGGAAAAAAATAATTTTAATGTAAACATAACTTACAGAATGAATGCAAATGCATCCAACAAATGCTTAACTAGCAAAGCATCTGGTTGTTGTGAAAAAAGTCTACATTACTCATAGCCTAATCTCTATTCAAACTATTACATATTTTGAAATTTACAAAGAACAGCACGTGAACTAGTCATAAAATGTTAAGATAACTGACCAAAAAAATACTCAGCCATTATGTAAAGTCTATGCATTATTCAAGAATTTATTTAAATTGTTTCCTGCATAGAGAAGGAACTGATTATACAGCTCTTATTAACTCCAGCCACTAAACAAAAGATGCAATGAAAACTGGAACAAAAGCTGTTAATTTCATCCACAGAAGAAATCAAACATTTACTAATCATAAATTTATTTCACAGAAAAAAAAAAGGAAAAAAAAAAGAAAAGAAAAAAAAATTGAATCAGAGTAAAACATTTGAATTTATCACAAAGTTAATTGAGTGAACAAATTTTAATAAGCTTCCTAAAAAATTGCTTCTGTGTTACAAAATATCTTCAGAGTATATTCTTTCTCCTAAGGCAGTACGCAAATCTATTCAAAGCCACTGAAGACAACAAAGATTACAATGATACTATTTCAGTAATTTGTTAATATTAGTTTTCTTTCTGAAAATTGACTTAAATTATTGAATGTGCTCATATTAATATAAAAATTTCATTAAAAACTATAATTAAAGATTCTGCTGCCTAAAAGTTAGGAATTATTTAATGTTAAGCTCGGTTCTTCTGCCTTTCCTAGAACCAAAAACTTCAGTAATGGCAAAAATGGCAGTAAACTGCCAATAATTGACTGCCTACCTATTACAACTATACATTAAACTTCTAGCACATCATATTCTTTTAACCACATAATAATGGGTGAAATCCTCCCATATGTTTCACTTTGCTCTTGTCTTGTGTGTGCATGCGTTTGTATGTGTGTATCTCTAGGATTTAACAAATAGTGAAAAATACGCTTTACAATTTATTTATTGTTATTGCTATCAATAATTGCTTTGAATCTATTTAGCAGGCAATAACTAGGTTAGGTGCTAAAATAAAAAATAAGTCAACTACACTATTCCCATAATTATTTCTGCAAAAAAAAAATTAACTACTACTTAAATTGCCATCAAGTGTACTTAAGCCAAAATAAAAAATACCATAGTTAATCAGATTACCATAGTTACCTCTGTAGGAATCAAAATAATTAGTCAAATTAACTGCAAAATTAACATGAGAAACTGTCAAAGTTCTTGGTTTAGGATATAACACAAATAGCATGAGAAGCATTTTTAAAATTTCATTACAACCTTTACAATTCATTAACTATTTTTAAATATTCGAATAGTTAATGACCTAAAATTAGAGTCTAATCATAAAATATGTATTTTAAATTATTTGTAAGGATTGTAAAAATTTGCAGATTAGGCTGGATTATTTTATTATAAAAATCAGATCAGAAAATATGTGGAAAAATACAAGGGTTTAAAATAGGTACTAACATCTGAGATTGTCTTTCATATACATTCATTATACTCACAAACAGTTAAAAATGGATATGAAAAACTAATCACTATTAATATTCCCAACAATAATAAAATAAACAATACATGACAATAAGTTTAAGAAGGAATTTCATATTTACCCTTTAGTAGGATCAAGAGCAATATGTTTCGGTTTGCTGAGGGAAACATCAATTAAAGAAATGCAAACCTCTAAAGTTTTATTGCACACAAACAACATCTCTCGTTCGTCATCAAGGAAGTACCAGTTCCCAGATATCCATTCATATGCAATTTGATTAACATCTGTTCAAGAAAATTACAGGTTTTATAATGCAATTTATATCAAAACATATCACCATCATACCACTAAAGTAATGAATTCATGAAATCACTGCTTCAAAAAAGAAATAAACATTTTGCATATTCTTGGTTTCATGAAAAATCACAATTCTTAGGCAATAACTCTCATACAATCATTTCATAAAATATCCATCATTTCTTTTAATAATGTGTAAAATATTGAAAGATGACAAATACCTTTATCTTTTAACAATACATCAAAGATTAAAAGATAAAAATGGATGACAAAAAAGAGCAAAAAGTGACTATACTACTCCTCCGCTTCTAGTTTTAAAGAGCTAAATGTTTTAATCTCATTTTACGACTTTCTTCAAGATGTTTTATATATATATATATATACAGTCAAACGTCGTTAATTCGGACACCCATAATCCGGACCTCAAAGTACAAACTTTCTGCGTCGCGTACACGCATGCCACAGGCGTTTACGAGAGCGCGTAAGACCCTATGGCTGCGAATATGTTTGTTGCGCATGCGCGTTTAATGTGTAACGGAGTTACGCTAAGCTAAAGTTATCTAATTCAGTTAATGTTGCAGATTGCGTTGTTCCTTAATCTCGAATTGGATCCGGCTTTATTTTTGCAGACTGTTAGAGCAATTTTATAAAAGTATTGACTTTCGATTATGTCAAATAGAATTTCCCTTATATTTACTACAAAGCGAAAGTATGTTTTTGAATCCGAAATCTGTTATCAATTTCACGCTGCTCTGCGGCAGAGGGGGGGGGGGGGGAAACAATCATATTAGATTATGAAGATTAGAAAATTATGTCAAATAGAATTTCCAATATATATTTACTAATATGTAATTTGTATCTACAAAGCGAAAGTAGTTTTGAATCCGAAATCTGTTTATCATTTCACGCCGCGGATGGAAGTTGATCTGTCAACACTATCTCCTTATCTTCAGAGCAGATGTTTTTATTTTATTTGGATTATAATTCCGTACTAAGTTAGTATTATCTCGATGTACTCCGTCTTTGATGTGATTTAATCAAGTTCCTCGTCATTATAATTCCTTCCGACAGGAAGAGTGACCCAGAGGTTATTGAAAACATTTCGATTACAATTAGTCGTATTCTCAACACACAAGATTATAGGACTTGAACAGCGGAACTTTGTACTAAACAGAAATTATGTCTGTTTTAATAGAATTAAAGAGAAACGTATTATCACATGAACGAACAACTTACATGAAGGAAATGTTTAATAAAGTAAACAAATAAATACTAAGCTGTTTTTTTCCTAAATTTTGATACCCTTTAGATGATAAATGCTTCATTATTGTATAGATCACGTTTTCATGATTTTAATTTTATTATTTCGTCGTACTAGATTTAAACTGATGATCTATATCCGGAAAATCGATAATCCGAGCCGAAGTCCCGACGAGTCCGGATTAACGACCTTTTGACTGTATATATGTGTGTATATATAATATATTTTACATTGAGAAAATTTTACTAGGTACAAGACTTCCAGAATTCTTATTAAGTGAACATAATTTAAAAACCCTAAACAACACAGAAAACCATAACCATCATCATGAGAGTCAAAAACAGAATAGTAATACTATTAATTACCACTTTAACCAATCAATAGTTTATGAGCATATAATAAAAAGATGACATTAAATTTTAATAAAATTATTAAATTAACATATACTTTTTTTTTTTTTTTTTTTTTTTTTTTAATTTCAGATACCGTACACTATTGATTTTCTGGGTGTGGATTATCCATCCATGGCAATGCTCCTGCATGCACAATCAACCTAGAGAATGTAAAAAACTACAAGTGCAAGTCGAGAATACTCCAAAAATTGCAGAACTGTGCCTTTGGAATTAGTTTACATGACTTCCTCATACAATTCATTCTGCGTGTGCGTAGTTGAAGGCATCATTTTGGTTGATCTTTACGACTGTTTTGTTTCTTATGTATTTGTCAGATTTATATGTAAATATTGATTGGGAAAGCATCAATGAATAGTTTGACAATGATCTGATTCAGCCAGAGTTTCAGTGATGTGGATATAATTTTAAATGTCACAAGAATAAAAGAGGCAGCGAATGATACTGAAAATAAGTGAAGATATTAAGAATTACATTAGTCCCGAGACAGAAATAATTTCTGCTCAAACACTATAGGATTCCATCGACAAAAGGGATTTAAAAACAATGATAAAATAGCATTGTGAAAATATGCTGTGAGATTTGATAAATATTTAAACATTCCCAGGAACTTTTTTTTTTTTTTTTTTTTTTAAAGAAATAAACATATATTCATGAAGATTGATTTGATAGTTTGGATTATATGCGAGACCAGATTCCCAGGCATTAACCTGTTTAATCGAAAGTTCACTGTACATTTATATAAACGGCATAAAGTAAGAGATCTGGAATCATTAAGATTTAGTAGTGATATCTAAAAATATTCAGATTTGTGACCCCCATCAATAAATATCATGAAATTTAGTTGCTTAGAAATTATGCTAAGCATTTTTACATCAACTTTCGCCTGACTTGACCAGATTCCACCAGAAAAAGAACATCAGATTTTAAATTAAAATATTTTTAGATTTCTTAGATGGTCTTTTCTACAAGGCTACCTTTATATCTGCATTTCCAGTGCATGGAAAATTCTGATATCCAATGGCTGATTGATAGATATAAAATTTTAGGAAAAGAGTCAAATGGAAATATTATCATTCACTAAAACTATAATTTTTATAAGATTAATTAATAATTGACAAAACAAAATTATAAGCAGCTTCATATCAGTCATATCAGAAAGTTAAGAGAACAACATAATTTGCTATGTTAACTGAACTTATTAGGAATCTAATTTTTTCATCCTTCTCCGTTGCTATGCCAACAAAAGAAAAACAGTACGAGTGACATCCTACTTCAAATAAATATGCCTTGGAGCTTTACTTATTGTTTAGGTCAAGTATAAAACTGTACTTCCTTATAGTGTCCCCCCCCCGAGAATGAATCTCTAATCAACTGAGATATCTCACCATGTATTCTTGTAGCTCTTCATGTGTACTTATATTAGCATCATGTTATACTTTTTGCTCTCACAGTGTGGTCTTTTTTTTTTTTTTTCTGAATAAGCAGTTAACAATCTTTAATTTATGAAACAAAGAGATGGAAGCCATATCATTTTTTCAAGAAAGTGATGTTTTACTTGAAAATGGGTATGCAAAAATGGCCAGAATATAAAATTACATGTTAATGATTAAAATCACTTGGAGCTGTAATGTTAAAAATTGCAAAAAGAAGGGCCTCTGTGTTGGAAACTTGTTCCGTAGTTCCAGAATATCGCTAGTCACAGCAATTTTTGTATTTTCAAAGGTAAATTTTTAACAGCTGAGGAGTTGATGTCCATCAAATGGTGTAACAAATAGCTTAATAACTGCAAAACTATTGCAACTGGGTGGAACAATTACTTGTGGGAAGTGTGTTCCCTACATCCAATGCAGAGATTCAACGAATGAATAAGCAATGTTTCAATGGGCTGATAAAATAGTTTAAATCAATGAAAGTTTATTCGTCTAACAAAAGAAAAACAGTGGAGTATTCCCACAACTGTGGATTTTTAGAGGAATATGCCAGAAAGTTGGCAAATGCTTTGTTATTTGAATCTTGAATAGAGATGCTGCTAAATTTCTGGAGAAAATTATTCACCATGTGCAAGATGGATCAACGATCTATTCAGACTGCTGCAAGGGATATGAAATTAAACAACTTAAAGAGGTTGGTTTACAGTCATTTTATTGTGAACCATAAGTACAGTTTTGTAGACCTAAAAATGTGTATTTAGACCCAAAATGTGAAAAGAACTTGGGGTTTAGACAAGTGGTGTAATAAAGAACAACAGAACATGACTCAGCATCACCTCGAATCATATCTTTCGGAACTTATGTCGAGAAAATACACAGAAAAAATAACGTTTTTGATGAATTGTTGAAAGCAATTTAGAAACATGACCTTGTCAAAATGATTATTAAAAATATTCTTAGGAAACACCATGTGAATATTATTGTTATTATTATTATTATTTTTTTTTTAAATTCATACTTCACAATAATAGTTCCAAAAAATGATTACTCCCAACCAACTCAAAGGCTGAAAGGGTGGGTCATCGCAAACCTCTATACAGCATACATCAAATGTAGTAGTCATTGGTCATGCTGTGATTCCCTATACACCATATGTTTGAAATTGGCATACAGAAATCTCCGATTGGGGAAAAATTGCTTTCCATAGCATACCTGCTTTTTGTTAAGTATCATATTCTCCACTTCTAAACTTCGTAAAAAAAAAAAAAAAAAAAAAAAGGCTTATTGCTAGCAGTCCAGAAAATTTGGATATTAGATCATTCCAGATATAGGATGTCTGGATTTTGGACTTTGTAATGTATAAGAAATTTACAGCAGCCTACTAGAACTGCCTATGTTATTTGAGATACTTAAAATTTTGGATGCTTTTAACTGGAAGGATTATCTCAATTGCTCTCTTTTTGACAATTACATTACATTTCAAGATACTATTTTCTAAAAATTAATGGCACCCCTATGAGAACAAATTGTTCTACTCAAATAGGTAACCTTATTTAATACAGAGTCCAGATTTCTACATTCACTTTCACTTGAAAATCTGCAAAAATTTTCTTACACCTATAAATATACTGATAATATCATTACTTTCAACAATTTTAATCTCATTCAATCTAGAAATGTTTAGCCTCTTTAACAAAACCAACTCAGATCAATTGACAGTTGATTGTCTATATCTTAGCATTTTTAATTACCAAGAAACCACATTGTTTGAGAAAAGGAGAGATTTCAACTTTCAGTCAATTAAGCTAGTTAATTGGAACAGTAACATCTCTAACCACGTTACAGGAAATACCATTTATAATCAATTATTTGCATTAGAAAGATTTGCACAGTAATGGAGCAACAGCAACAAGAAATTTTATTGCTTTCACAAACATTGACCAGTGATCAAATTCCTAAATATTTTTTTAAGAAACTACTGAAACAAAAGCCTACACATCATCTACAAACTATGAATAGCAAATATTTGTAGCATGTAAAATTTGTAAAATATGTACTTTACTGTGTATATTTATATTTTTAATATTCTACTATTCAGGCTCTAACTATGACTAACGAGGCCATTTCAGCTTTCTGAAAGTCACTATTGCAGTCAAAATAGCATGAAAAACTGCTACTCTATTTTATTTTTTATTTCATTTTTTCTAACTTTTCCAGAATTTAAATTACATTTTTTAACCGTTTTTCTTCAAGACAGCAACAACTTTCTTCACGAATATTATTTGCCATGATAAAAATTTGCCAATAATAATATTATTCTATCTAATTACAGACAACCTCCTATCCTCCCACATTCTTTTCAGCATCGTTTAGCAGTAGCTACTGCTTGAGTAAGTTTTAATTTATACCTGGACCTCTTTCTGTTTCACAATTTTTGTATTTAGATGTGAGTTATTGAATATTGATTAATGTTTATTAATTCCAGATTGTTTATCTTTCCGTAGCCACTTACTGCTCAGTTTCATTAAATAGTAATTTAATAATAATTTTTATAGTTTTCTTAAAAAGTTCCTTTATAGTTTCCTACATAAAATTTTGTTTTTGGATAGTTTGCCATTTTTACGCAAATAATCCAATGGAAATTTTCTGATACATTGAACTTCATTTTGAATATTGTTTATACTACTGTATTTACATCCAGCCTGTCAAATAATATTAAAATAATAAATTTTGATGTCTCTGCTAATTTGGATAAAAAGAAATTTATCTAGAGAGCCAGATATGGTAATTTATTAGTGTCAAGTTTACCTACTTCTTGATGATGGCTCAATCTAACAATGATAAAATGACCATATAAATATGAATTTTTAATTTTCATGTTTGTTATGATTTTTGGTTTAATTTAATTTTTTTTAAATTAATGTTCATTCAGATTTCATTCTCAGAATTATGATAATGACTGTTTTTTATTCATTCACTAAATTTGGATCTATTTCATACAATTATTGGTTTTGGTTATATTTATAAATTCAAAACAAATTTCCTGCTTTGTCCTCAAAAACTGAAATTTTTTATTATTGAATAATATCTGTAATTTTATGCCATTTATTTAGATAAAATTTTGCTTCATTTTATTATTTTTTTATTTTTGTGTAGAATATTCTTGATTAAAAAAATTACTTTCTTTAAGAAATATTTACTTTTTACAGAACTAATTTTTTTTTTAATCTTTTGAACTGTATTATTATGATAATTTTATACTTGGCAAATAACGTGGCAAAAAAAAGTGGTGCATTTTTAACTGATGCCATTCTAATGGAAGAGTACCATTTGGCTTATTAGTCTTAGTTTTTGACTTTATTTTATTTTTTTTAATTAAGATTTTGCCTATTACCAAAGCATAGTCACATCCTTTTCGTATTTGCGTAGGATTTGGCCCTTTTGGGAATTATATTGTTTTTTGAAGAATTTTTATTAATACTGTTAGTTATAATTATCATAATTTTTACCATTTTCTTGCTCAAATTCATCAACTGATAGTTTTAGAAAAATGACCAGATTGAGAGCAGATAATGCCATTCTCTTGAGAAAGACTTTTATCTGATTCAATTTTTTCTTTAAAATATTTATGCCTTTTTTCTTTTTGTTTGTTTACTTTGCATAATCTTGCAGTATTTCTTTCTCCCCTTCTTCTTTTTGGAAACAGTGTTCTTTTGGCATTTATGTCTTAAACATAAATGCCAAAATAACACTATGAGTGTCTTAAATGCACTCGTATATCATTTTTATGGTTTAGTTATGAGGTCACAGCTGACAACATTTAAAATATGAAAAACCGGGAGGCTGTCGCACAAAAATCAGGAGTTTGGGGGGAGCATTTTGTGCAGTGCAACAGTGTCATTTCAAAAGAACTCTAAATTGATTTAAATTCACTTTATAATTCATTATTCAAATCACTAAATTATTGAATAGGATTCTAATGAAAAATATATTAATTCCTTAAACAGGTATTCCAAATTTTATATTCTTTCAATACTTTCATTTTGCAACTTTTTTACGCTTTTACACTAATGAAGGGTGGGAAAAGTATATTCAGGATTCAATACTCTTATTGGTCAATGTACTCTTAAATACAATAAAAACAAAATGCAATAATTAATGAACATACTATTATAAAATAAACTTAGTAATGTACCATATATTGATATAAAATAAAATTTTAAATAAAAATATTTAACTAATATACTGGTTGATTATTCATTAAAAATTCTATAAATGTCTACAGTAGATTACAACATTCAGATCCAATACAGCTTATTAAGAAAAATTATGCTCAAAATCACTAGGGGATGGAAAAATGAAAATTGAAGTTTCATTAATTCATACATTTCATTTATTACTGGGAAACATTTTCCTTGGTAAAAGCTTAAAAATTCAAAACTGGGAGACTGTGATCAAGGGGAGAACAGGAAATGAAAAACAGAAAGAGTTGGCAGCTACGTGAGATAATTAAAGGATTGCCAGGTGCCACAGTGGCTAGTGCATTGCGCAGCAGCACCACAGATTCGGGTTTCGATACCCGGGCTGGGCAAGGTTAACTCAGCCTTACATCAGTAAAGTAGGCCAGTAAAATGAGTATCAAGTTTGCTTGGGGACTAAACACCGGAGGTCCTGCGATAAGCTGACTACTTGTCCATGGCATATGCTCATGCAACAGGGGGAGGCCACGGTCATATAAAAACTGTTATTATCCTAAAAACCCCTAATAATTTAAGAACAATTTGTTAAAATAGCATGTATGATAAAATTTTAATTCCATCAATTCGAAAAAAAATTTTACTTTTTCAAGTTATAAATAGTTGTAAATTGAGCACTTTTTTAAACTTTTTCAATAAAATATTTATTAGCTTAAAAGGAATTATTTTTAACAAGTTATTTTTTAAACTGGCCCAAAAATAAAATACCTTTTAAAACATGCATAAAAAATAACTGAAATATTATCAATAAAACTACAAACACTCACTTGATTGCGAAAATAAATCTGGCAATTTATAATCCCAGTGATGAGAAAAATCAAATGCACTGCTGCATCGAATCCCAGAATTATGGTTAAATTTCATAAACTGTAAAAAAAAAAAAGAAAAATATCTTATGAACAAATTTTAAAATATTTAATTAACTTAATTAAATAAATTATTTAATAAAGTTATTTAATTAACTTATAAAATTAACATCTCATTTACATGGGATGCATAATATTGTATTTTAAATATGATCTCATAAAATAGTGAATTAGTAAAAAATTTAGTTATATTTTAATGATGTAATGTATTTTGATTCCTCATTAGAAGAAATGTTTTGTAGCCTACTTCTCATAAGTATTGAATATGATCTAAATAAATTGTTAAGGAATTAAGTAAATAAGTGAAGCTTTAAATGCCAGGCATTGGTTCCAGAAGTTTAGGTCAAGAGATCTAAGCCTTTGTGATGAGTCCCACAGTGGGCGACTACAGGTTTTGGATGAAGAGGCCCCAAAGAGAGCTGTAGAAGAGGACAGCCGTGAAACATGTGATGAACTTACGGTATGTTTCCAAGTTTCTGAAGACATAAACAAGGAGAAGATACAGAAGATAATAAACTGAGCTACCAGGTACCTCGCATATTATTGGTAGATAATATGGAACAACAAATGACAGCCTGTTTGCAATTGCTGTCTCAGCACTGTGACACATGAGCGGCAGCAGAATGCATGGGCATTGGTTAATCACAAGAGTGTGCTGTATCCTGCAAGATTATAACAGTGTGAGACAGCAAGTTGCAAGGCTAACTAGGGATACCATACAATAAAAAACATTAACTGGAAGACTGCTTGCCCAACCTAGTGCCAACAAATTACCTCTTTCAATCCCTGGAAAAATTTCCCATCCCCATGTGAAGTCTTTTAACAATAAAGCAGATCTGTGACACGCATTAACAGACTTCTTTATGCCTAAACCCTCCAAGATTCCTCATTAAAACATTGCACAGCTATGAAAATATAACAGATGAAACTGATGAGTGATGAGAGAATTTGAGTACAACATAGACAGCATGAGGATAGTGCTAATAACCTATGGCTGCTGATGACCTGTATGTATCTTGATTAGGAAGATTTATTTTAGAACAATGGTGTATTAAACTTTCATTCATATTCAGCCTGATTCAAATCACTTTCACTTACATTCTGGACATTCTGTAGGTTTTAAAGGAGTCTGGAATTAAACTGCCATTGAATAACTGTGGTCTTTTGTTGAGCAAAACATCAGATTTCAATTCAGAAACTCGAACTTGGTTGGAGTTGCAGGCAGTAATGCTACAAAACTCTAGCACCTTGATTGGTAAGTGGTTGCAATGCTGATTGTATGAAGTTGTATGAAATAGATGGGATGGAATTCACAGGTGGAATGATTAAATCAGTGAAATTGTATTTCTTTGATTCATTAAGCTCTTATCATGCATCCATCTTTATAACTGTAGACAGTATAAATTTCTACCATATGGTCACAGTATTCTTTTGAGTTCACCACATGCATTAATGACATATTAGTGATGTTACTTTGTGTTCAGAAGTCGTTAGTAATTAGCAGCAATATAGTGTATGTATAATTATTGTATCATGGTATAAGCTACAGCAGATTTAATAAAAACAGCAATTTAACTAAAAATGCAGCTTATTTCAAAAGTAATAAGATAGCCGAAAGAATTTATAATAAAACTTAACTATATGTTGCTGCAGGTGGTTCTGTAGACACTGTCAATTTTTGCAAATAATCTAGAGATCAAGCAATAAATTTTTGGCACTTTATATATCCATACCATAAATTTGCAAACTTGTTGGAAAATAATTTGTTGCCTATGCATGTAATGCATGAAAGGCAAGAGCTACTTTCAAAACTGTGGTGAATTAAAAATTCCATACCAGATTAATCAATCTATAAAAATGAAACAGCAGCACTGATAATAAAACACATATGATTTTCAAGAAATACTTCTTTTTTGTGTTGTTGTTCTCCTCATGTGCACAATAATCTCTTATTGCTGAAAAAAAATTAGGGAATTGCACAAATTTGGCTTCATACAACACTGTCAGAACACTTTGATTAAAATAGATATGAGCTATGTGCATACCCAAGTTGCTACAAAAATCATTTTTGACAACATTGTGAGCTGCTACAAAACTATTTTGGTGACATGCTGCTTTGCATCATGCATAATTTTTCACATTTCAGTGGGAGTAAGAATAATCAGAACATACCATTTTTTTTTCTTGTCTTTTCTAACCAGAAACCTAAAAGTGCTGTTCAATAAAAATGTTTTAGTGCATGGCTATTAAACTTTTGGTAAAAGTAATTAGTTTGAGTATTATTTGAGAAAAGAAAAAGTTTAAGCATTTCCAGATTTTCAAACCTTTTCAGATATGGAGATATTAGTTTTGATGTTGCATCGATAAACTGAAAACTCTGATTTTATTCTTACTTCTGGTGATTTATTGTACTTTCTGGCAAAATCAAGTTATCCAGAACTCCTTATTTAATATTCTGATTCTCTCTGTTTTAACTTAAATTCTAATTTTGTAAATTGATTTGTGTTAAAGTACTAGAAGCTCATGAATTTAAGTATGGAATGCTTCATGAAGAAGCAGACTTTTATTTCCTTGTGAAACTATTGTTCTTTTTTTTTTTTTTTTTTTTTTTTTTTTTACCATTTAAAAATAAATGCCAGAATTCATAAAGTAGAAAAAAAGATAAAAACTGCTATATGTAGACTCCCTATTAATGGATGCATGCCAAATCAACAGTCAGTTTCAAAACATGCATTCTCGTTGCACAACAGTTATAAAATGCACTGCTACAGCAATCCAGCATCTAAAGTTCTGACAGTATGGGAGGGAGTGGTATGTGGTATTATGGTGGAAAATAGTATTTATATGTGGTGTATTTGATGAATCCTCAGAGAAAAAAACCTTGCTGCAATAGGTTCTGAAAAATTAGGGAATCAAGTATGCAGCATATATGATTAAATTCAGCTGAGGCTACCCGAATCCTGCTGCAATGCTGCTCAGGATTTGGGGAAAATCTTAATTCCAGCATGAGCTGGAGTAAGACAACTTGTTTTAAAATCGAATTGAAATTTCAATACATAATTTTGTTATTTATGAAGCATACTTTCAACAGTTGGCAAAATTAATAGTAATATCATCTATCAAATATATGTCTCCTTTTCAATATGGAATGAGAATTATTAAAATCCTTGAGCAGACAGAGAAGAAAAACAACATGACAAAATACAATCCTTTCAGGAAACGGAATGTTTATTAACTGTATTTAGTTTGATTAATAATTCCTAAAATGTGTTGAAAGACAAAATAATGAAGCAATTTTACCTGACTGTGAAAAATACTTCAAAGCATTTCTTTTTTACCTTTCAGTAACAAATTTTGCTATCATTTATTTATACGTTTTCCATTTTTTTCATTATTTCAGTTCATTTTCCAACATGTTTATCTTATTATTTACCATTTTATTAGACCAAAGGGTGTTAACCCAGAAGGGCTATTAATTTCGTTTTGGCATTTTGAACTGGTTCACTATAAATGTTGGTTCACTTTCCAAATTGTTGCCACCAAATATTAGAGCCCTGTGTTATATTTAAAGAAATTAAACAATGAAGAATCTGCATAAATGTATGTATGTTTCTTGCATTGTGATACAACATTACCTAGAGCCATCAAATTTTGAATAACGTACATCTAGACCCTGAATATGGGCATCTGGAAGCCCGAATTTGGAATTCGCATTTTGTTTTATTATCAGCTCCATATTTTGTAACTCTTTATAGAATTTTTTTTATTAACAACCTCAACGATTTCAAAACGAGCAGCAAAGCTCAACACTGTTCGGGGTTTATCTCCAGTACGTGAGACTGTGTATCAAAAATTCTAAAAATATACTCATTTACATAATATTTAATAAATAAAAATAACTCACAAATTGTTAAAGAAAATGCCACGTTAAGTGTAATGCCAAATCCAAAAGCATTTAGATTTTTTTTAATTGATTAATTGTACTGTATTTGTTAACATTTCATTATTCTCCGAGTTTGTATCTGTGTGTGTATTGCAAAATAGCATAATTTTACTAGCAAGTGACATCTACTCTACCTTTTTTAACAAATGCAACAAATTTTACTGTATTTTCAACGTTATCTGAAAAACTTAACAAATGAAAAAAAATTTCCTAATCTAGTAATTTCAGTTTGATTTCCATTATATTTGTTATAGAAAAAATATCAATAGTTTTAATTTTTATGCAGCTAACCAAGAATCAAAATTATTTTAAGGGTCAGAATTTACTATACCATACTAACATGTCCTTTACTTAAATTAGAAAAATCGTAAATAAAACAATTAATTACCTTATTTGCAGAGAGAAAAGCATATCAAAAGTAAGTAATTTCTAAACATGAAATACCAAGCCGAATTCCATTATTTTCAGGCAAATTAGTAGCAACAAGAAATGCCAGAGCAAAAAGTTAATATCTATTCTGATGGGGGGAAAAGAAAAAAAAACTGTGCTTTTCTTTGAAGACCAGATAACTTTATTTTCATTAATAAAGCTATTAGCCATTTCAACGATGATCAAAAATTAAATTATTAATTTCCTCCTCTGAAATTAAAATTCAGTCATATTACTGGAATGTGTCTTCTGCAATTATTCTTTTTCAGTTTAGCTTTAATCAGTACAGTCAAATACCGAAAATCCACTGACCTGAAATCCGCATTGCCTCACAAAATATAAACATTTAGTTTATAGGTTCCAGAAACCGCAACATGGAGTACGAAATATCGAAGAAAAAATACTTACTCGATAATGACGTTATAATTACCAAATAATAATGAGTCATAGAGGAATACCAAATTATTAATTATGATAAGAGTTTTTCCCCCCGCTCCAATCTGCATCGAGGTAAAATAGCAGACGATTAACTCAACTCTTCTTTCAAGTTCACGCTTCATGTTGTACTTTCTGAGCTTTGTTATTTCACCAGATTGTTTAGTGATGTTGTTTTTTTTTAATCCGGATAT